CGGTTACATCGAGAGCATCGATGCGCTCGCTCCTTTTCCAGACGCGTGCACCTAAACGATCGCAAACGATTCACGCTACCCGTCGCGTCGCGTTGCGTCGCGTCGCGTCGCGTCGCGTCGATTCCTCCAATCCAATCGTTTCCCTGTAATCGACGATTATATTGGCGTTGCGCTATACCCGTTTTAGTACTCGACGACTCGTCGCGTCCAACTTTACTGATCAGAACGTGCTTCGCAACAACTGGGAAACGAATTGGAAACTCTTTGGCGGTGTTGCAAAGTCCGGGAGTCAACGATGCGTAATTTTTTTGTTCCATGCCGGAAAACTCGATATTGTGCCGTGGCATATGATCAAACAAAACATCTTTGCCCGTGTTTGCCGAGTTAATGCCTGTTGGAAGCCGAGCCGAACCGAGCCGAGCCGAGCCACGCGCATCGTGCTTGTCCCGGAGAATAAGGTGGCGCACGGAAATTCGTCCCGTGGAACACGGAAAATAAATAGTATAACAGAGGGACGTAAGAGACCGAGCCAAGGGAGCGACAATTTGGACAGCGTTCCCCCATCGATCTTAGCAGGGGGTCGTTATATCGAGTGGTAATGCGATTCATGCGCGTTAATGAACGCTTCCACGCATCCCTTCGACTCGGACCAAGCCGTCGCTTCGGACGAATCTCGATTGATGCTCGTATCTGCGAGGTGTCATCGAAATTCGACCATATCTTTATGAAACTTTGCACGTCGATCCGATATTGTGAGAATAGCGCTATCGCGGCAAATCAATTTCGATCCCTTTGGAAGACCCCTCGCCAAGTTTCCAGGTGAAATTCGACTCGCGATAAACAAAACGACGCCGACGCCGACACGACAATTGCCTAGTTGCGCGAACAACCCCGTGGACTCGTCGGTTTCTTGGTCGCGTCCCGTTGCTTCGCTTCGGTCCCTCAAAAGAGCACGAATCGATCGAAATGCAAAGCCTGTGCGTTTATCGCGAGTTCGAGACCCCCGCAGAGTCCCGAATACGATGTATAAGTGAAAGAAGAAAAAAAAAACTCGCGACACTGGTTTCTGGTTATTAACGGAGCCGGTTTGTGTACCTTCGCGATGGGGAGTCAAAATATAATTAAAGGTTCGCCGGTGGCCGGCCTAAGGGAAGTGTTTTGGTTCCATTATAGCTTGCTTCCAGCCCCTGCGTTCGAACCCCCTTCGGTCCTCGAAACCCGCGACTGGTCTACAATTACGCTCCTGGCCTTCTAGTCGGCTATAAATTTCGATGTATGCATATTCAAACCGTACAACGTGTCTCTCCAACCCTTGGTGAGAGCACCTCCTTTCTTACCGCGCCGCGCCGCGTTCCATCCCTACCGTGTGCTTTCTCGTTTTCTCGCTTTTTCGCTTTCTCCGTTGGTTCCCTTCTCCCGCTGTATGAAATAATCATGAAATTATTACCCTCCGGCCACGTATGCGTGTTTCTAGCGTCGAAATCTTGCGGAGGGCAACTCGGCTCGGCTCTGCTCGGCTCGATTTATAATGAGCAACAGCTAGACTTTAAAGGCCGCTTCCTCGCGCACCCTCTTTCACAGGGATTACTTTGGGGAGAAAGAAAAATTGCGCAAGTAATTCCAAAGGGTGCGGAAACACCAAACGCAGGCTTCCGCGTCGGCGTCGCGTCCCGTTAATTACTACAGATTAATTTTATTCTCGCGTCAACGGGCGTCCGTTTCTTTCGATCCCGGCATATTAACGATCCTCAACCCGCCTACTTATCTATGCGGTACGTTGCGGCTCTCGTTGTCAATTTTTGTTGGACGAATCCATGGTAAATTTGTCCCAGAATAATCGATCCGTTGCGCGTTCTTTTCTCGAGCGCAAGTTTGCCGAGATGATTCACACCGATTACACTAGACACCGTCTACGCCCTCGTTGTAATCCATTAAAAGCACTTTAATAAATTGACAAACATATGAAATATCATACAACCGACCCCTTCCCTTTGCTCTTTGCATCCGTGTCTACGAACGAACGCGGACCGAGCGGGAATCTCCAATTTACTTATACGTACACGTGTAAATACATGGCTGGAAAGAGGCGACTCTTCGAAAACGATACGAGTACGAGTAAGTATAAGCTGCTCGACCAGCCAAGGCTCCATCGGGCGATGGTCACTCCGTTAATGCACCGCGCTTTACCGCCATTAGCATAAAACGGGCCAACAAGACGTCCTACTACGAGTCAACAACATTTCCAACGACCAAGACGACCAACGACATCGAGCTCCGAACTCATTGTTTGCTCGATAAACGGTACCGCAAACCAACATCACGACGAAACACGCGACTGGCCGCAAACTGTAAAACAACGCTGACCGTTATTAGAGCACACACAAGTTTTTTATGCTATTATCGGTGGTTTTTCTGAATATTATCGATAAAACGCACAACAACGATAGAGTAAATAAATTGTTCGAACAAAGACGAGACGTACTGTGACGTTGTTATGCACTTGGTTATGCACGATGCAACGTTCATAACAAACTACTCATCGGTTGTACTTGCGTGAGTTTCGGGAACAGGGTCGCGAGGAACCAGAAGTTCCTAGATGCGACAACCCTAGATTGGGCCAACTGAAAACTTGGCGAGGAAGAAACACGGAACACGGAAAGTTGGAAGAAAAGTGTGTCGACTCGAAGAGGGAGAAACGAGAGGCACCGCGTCGCATCGTGGCCAAAGCCGAAGCGAGACTCGAAATAACTTTACTTTCTTACTCGCGTTTCTTATTTATCGCGTTGCTATAATATTTGGGTATCGATGTACAAGGAAAAATTGGCAAATGATAAATATCGGAAAACGGAGAAATAAAAGCTCGAGCGCGAAATATCGAGGATAACGCAAACATCGATTACCCGTTACCCGATATCCATTAAAAAGCAGAATGGAAAAAGGCCACTTTTCGTTTCCACCGGAGGGTTTAATTTCATGCATTTAAATTACGCGTTCAAATCCAGGCTCATCGTAAATTTCCTCCAACTTTTTCCCCCTGGTCGAATCGCTCGTGTTTTACAAACCGCTGAGCCGCGCCGCGCCGCGCGACAAGTCGCCAATTTTCCGTTAAATTATTTCCCCCGTAACCAATCCAACCATATCATTACCGATAACGACAACTCTCGAGTTGATCGGGAAATGAAACACTTTTAATTCCAAGACCGAAACACGACGATCCGAATGCCAGTAGACTGTTAAACCTCGGGATTGCTAAACCCGTACTCTGTAGCTATATTTGTAAATACAATGAAACGTAGCTACAGCCCCTGTGTGCCATGTCGATTCGTTCACTTGTCAGACGCTCGAGTCCATAAGTGTATTCATTGAAGTCTATAAGATTGATTATAAAAAGTCAGTAACCTTCGACGTCGCGTTGTACAACCATTATCCCGATAGAACATTTAACGAGTTGCAACCGATAATCAATTTTTCATGATTCGAGTTTCGAACGACTACACCTAGAATAATATGTGGAATAGATGCGCAACATTAGCTACGTTAACGTAACCGTCACGTTACGCGTTATTCGCGTAAACAAGTACAAATACATTGGCAACACCGATGCAGATATCTCGGGGCAGGAAGAGGGTGTTGCCGGCAGAGAAGCAGACTACCACGCCCTATCCCGAAAATTTCATCCTCCGAATGATTAAAACCTAATATAGGGACACGCCTACCGAACGATGTCCGTCGAACCCTAGGTTCACGGGGTTCGTCCCCTGTTTCCATTTTCACCCTAACCATAACCACCTCCGTCACCTCTGCTGGCTCCGTTGGTTGCCCTTGTCACCCTGTGCCCTGTGCTCGCTTTCATCGCTCCTTTTCCTCTCGGATTCCGCTCCTTCCTTCTCTTTCCTCTGGTCCTTTTACCGAACGGTTGTCTCTTTCTCCTGTCTGTTTCGGCTCACTTTCACTCTCACGGGCTCCATCGTACATTTTTAAACGGTGCTTTTTTCAATTCCGTCTCCGTCGACTGTCCCAAGAGGATCGAGTTAACGTCCGCAAGCGACAGCAGCAGCGACGAGAGAAAAAGCATTCGTCGCCAGGCGAGAATTCGTGGCACGATCCGAGGAGAAATCTTGACGGAAAATCGAAACTGCCTAGGTCGAGAGTATCGTTGCCGCGATCGAGGTCCAGCACGCCGGCACCGCCACCGTCCGCGATAACATCAAACATTTCGAATCTATAGCAAACAGTCTAGGCTTTCCATTCCCATTTGGTAGACGATCTTGCGACCGTACCAAATTACCAATTATCCCATCACTTTGATGACCGATAGCACCGCTAACAAACACTGTATCGCGATAAATGTGCGTCGAAACAGGAGAAAACACATGGAAACCGTGTGGGATTTCGACATCTCGACCCCTTTCCACCGTTAAATATTCACGGTGTATACGCGAAAGCGCGCGTGGGCAGACTTTAATTCCAGAATTAACGAACATGCCGTCCAAGTTGACACGATTAACCCTCGTTAGCCTGCATCACGATTATTTCACAAGAATGGGATTCGATGAAGATTAATAAAGACCATTAACAAAATTATCGAGACGCGGGATTTTTCGGATTATCGTATACGATATGTTATGTGAAAAGATTCTGATCGGTAGACCTCGACTGTCTAGTGTCCATGTCGGTTAGGTTTCGTTGCACCGCTTCGAGGCTTTTGCGTTTCCACTAAATCATCCGCCGCGAATCCTGCCTTTTCCGATCCATTCCCGACTGCTCGTCGTGCTTTCATCTCGATAGAGAAAGAAAACGTAAAACGCGGAATCCGACTGCTTGCTTTCCAAAACCCACGAATCGCCCGCGCCCCGGTTCGACGGGACCCTACAACTATTATTCGACGTGGAACGATAACGCACAATTTTTATTGCAACAACAACAACAAAAGAAAGAAGTAAAGAAAACAAGTTGTCGTCTAATGAAATATTGTTACATTTTGTTTTGTTTCGTTGTAGGCAATAATCTAATTTGCGACTGCAAACTGGCATGGATCTGGGCTTTAAGAAACGAAACAAAGAATAGAAAGCTGCGGGACGCCTTGGAAAAGCTCACTTGTTTCTTGGAGAGCAATAACGCATCGCGGAAGATCAACAATGCGGACCATGAATGGAACGAAGCTCTCGAGATTGCACGACATTCACCAAGTGGGTCGCACTGCTTAAACTTACTTCCACTTCTACTTCCACTCTCGCCAGTTATTCTGTATCTTGTACGATCCATGTTTCGCATTCGTTAAACTTTCTTGGCAATTTTTACGAGATTCTGACGCGGCTAGGATCCTCGTGTCTCGTGACGAGAACGATATTTCAAATTTCGAACGCGCTTGCCGCATATTTCCGATATCTATTTTTCTCCTACTGTAGTTTTCCTATTTATATCGTTACAGAGGAATATCTGACCGAGAACATCAGAACCGGCAAGTTCGATACCGACAACGCCTACTTGGGCGACGAGTACGAGAGCGAAGATGGCTACGAGGATACGAATTCCGATTCTCAACCAAAAGTAAGATATACGATACTTGAAAACTCGTTATTTAAATATAATACAATAACAAGGATAAAACTTGGACAAGATGTTTGATCGACCTTCGTCTGCGACGCATTGTTGCAGGTGCAGGTGATAGAAGGCAAGTCGATGCAAGTAAGGAATTTGTTCGAGTTAAAAATGGAAGAGCTTCCGTGTCCGGAGCCCTCGAGGGAGGATCTAATGGCCTCCGAACAACCCTCGAGTCGCCACGAGAACGCTCCCGTGGGCTCATCGGGTTCCATCTGGTTTTCATCTACGGCAAAGTCTATCCATCTCGACTTGCCCGTTTTCGCATACACCTTTGTCCTTCTGCTGGCGCGGCCGATGCTCTTCATCTTTACGTAGAGGCAGTTCGAGCTCCACTCGCTGGACGATCCGATAAGCGAATCGGAAGTATGGCCCATGGCCGAGAACAAAGACAAGGACGATTCGCGATATCTCGATATACGTGCATAATCGAGCCTGTATGCTGCACGCTCGCGTATGAATAATAATAGATTTATACAACATGTGTCGTTGCGTACGCTTGCAGCGCACCGCGCGCCGTGTTCCAACTTTGAGGAAAGACCTTCGACTCGTTTACGTTGTCTTTGTTCCCGTTTCATATTTCGCGTACACTGTACAGTACTCAGTGTAGAGTGTAGAGTGTAGAGTGTAGAGTGTGGTGTGTAGAGTCAGTCAGCCTTATAGACGAGTTTGCGGCAATTTCTAGCCGCGTGTATCGTATCGGTGTTCGCGAGGCTATCATAATATCGTTCTCCTCGAAACAAGTTTCGCCAATCGAGACGGAAGGGAAGTTGGCCGGGAGGCGATCCCACGCGAGCCTTAGTCAATTCCCCGTGCAATCATGCCGGTTTTATCGGTAACCAGATTGTCATAGTTCCAGCTCGAGGAGTTTCAGAGTTTGTCGAGTTTCTCGCCTAAACGCACAAAATATTCGTATCGAGCGATACGACTATTTGTATAAATTATTACTATTATCGATATATAATACGTGTTTCTCAAAGACTTTGACACGACATCTAATATATCGTTGGTTTTTCTCATTCGACTTCCCGCAACCGTTATCCCTGAAACGTCCAGGTGAACCGATTAATAAACACATGGAGCGTCTAACCCACGCCTGAAAAACGACAAAAGTAGCAAAGAAATGATCGATAATGTTGAGATTGTTTGTAATAGTATAAACGTTACCATATATAGTATCGCGATATTAATAGTTTATATGAAAAATCCAACAGCAAAATTACGTTGCCAGAGAAGATACCAAGTATGTACATCGATAGAGAAAGTTGATCGATCCCAACGATGTGAAACACGATTAAATCATTGGAAATGTTAAGAATGCTCTCTAGTTTTTAATCTAATCTGCGATTTTAAGCAGCGTGTTATCGAGACGACAAGAGTTGATCGCTTGCGCACAACTTTTTTTACTCTGCTCTATTCGCGTATCGTAAATAACGTGTACGCGGGCTGCGACGCGACGCAACTCCATTGGCGGTTTCTTTTCGAGAAATGTCTCAAAAACAATCTCGAAGATCATTCGATATCGAACATAGCTAGTCTAATCGAAATTTGGACCGCAGCTTTCGAGTAATTTCTAATGCTAAAATTAATCACATTTATAACCACGCAATATCATGAATTATACATTCCTGAAAATTTCGTAACAGCCCGCGGCTCGTGCCAATTTAGCCTAAGTAAGATATCGTCATCGTCATTGTCATCGTCATCGTCATCGTCATCGTCATCGTCATCGTCATTGTCCTTCATCGACTTTGTGTACTTGATCATTCGAGCGTCCTGTACGATCGTATTCTCTAGCACGACGTTTGGTGTTAATCAAGACGCACGCATGCGTACAGAAGGAAACAAACAAAAGCACTAGGTAGACAGATAGATAGACAGATAGATAGATAGATAGATAGATAGATAGATAGATAGATAGATAGATAGATAGATAGCTAGAGAGAGAGAGAGAGAGAGAGAGAGAGAGAGAGAGAGAGAGAGAGA